CATTAAATCACATCATACAATGTCCAGCCGTCCTCGCTCAGGTTAAATGCGGTAAAGCTGTCCATATTCCCGCATCTACTAAGAGCGAGGACGGCTGGACGCTGTATGAGGTGATTTAGTACAGTTTAAGTCCAGCCGTCCTTTCCCCATCTCCCCTAACAAACTCCAAACCTCCGTATGAGCTCTGCCTGCGAGAGTATGTTCAGAAGCCTGAGCTTTGCAGCTGTGATCGAGTGATCACAATTACAATGCTTTCCAGACTTGAATGTAAATATAAAAGAAATGCATATTGTTTTAATATATTACTAATTATGCATTTTTTTCATTTTTGCAAAAAGTGAACTTATCCTTTAAAGAGAATCTCTCATTTCCATCTAAGATTAGAGCTATGCGTACCTCAGGATTCACAGCCATGGCGAAACCATCGCATTTTGAATAAAGTCAATTGTCTCCATAAACAAAAGGTAGTTGGCAGATGGGATGGAAGGATTTGCTACAGGCCATCTCACATTTACCTATTTTTCTGTCTTACTGGACATCCAATAACATGAACACATGGTTCAGATCATTCCCTTCACTGGGGGATTTTACCTGTAGTTGGATGCAGGTGAATGTAGAGTCTTTGAAGGTCTTCTCTGCGAGGGTGGTGTTCTCTTTATCCAGATTTAGTGATATCTCTACTCGGGTCTCTCCCTGAGCTCCCTCCAGTTGTATACAGACCTTCTCAGGATGGTCGGAGCGGAACTCTGAGGGGAAGATGACTGCATAGTGTCTGAGGAGAACAATAGCAATTGGGTGATTATATACTGAAGACCAAGGACTTGTGTTTACCAATCTTAAAAGCCAACTTAACATTTGACATTACATCAAAATACAACCTGTGTATAGCCATGCTTGGGAGCCGAGTATTTCCTGATCAGGCTTTATCTTTACCTATCCATACTGTGGTCCTTTTATCACAGTTTCTTCTGGTGATTCCAAACATCATCTCTCACTACACATTACGCCGTATGTGCAAAATCAATCTATGTATCCCTTTTTTACAGTAATTAGCGAATATCCAGCACTCTTGAAGACAGACATTTTGGAGACAAGGAAGTTCCCTTTATCAAAGTGCAGTGACTTTAGGCAAGCAGAGCTAAATGTAGAGCTGGGAAGTCGTTCGTTTGTTTACAAGTAATCTTGCCGACAGCCTTCCCCTCAGTTGTCACAGGAGTTCCAGCACTGCTGTGCTAGAACTCCTGTATTGGAGGTGATAAGTTCAATAAAGACAACCTGTCACCTCCAAATGCTATCACACAGGGGCTTGTTAGCTTAAAGTTAGGTGGGAAGAAAATTAATAGAAAAAAATAATTGATATAAAAAATAATGAAATAAACATTTTAAATAAAGTGAAATAAATAAATAATAATTTTTTTAAACTACCTCCCGGCCAGCCGCTGTGTATACACGGCCTGCCGGGAGCTTCTTGGATGTAACTGGGCGTGTATACACGTCC